AGGTTGCATTTTGATGATGTATAACTCATTCTCTGTTAACAGTTTGTGTTCAAAACAACTATGCAAAACACAAACATATATTCCAAGTAATGTAAAACCATAAAAGTGCAGCATAAAAGGAGTATCTGATCCACTCATACAGCATTTTCCTCACCAGGAGACCAGGAAAAAAAAAAGCTTTGTTGGAATCCTGTGTAATAAAATCATGTGATTTCAAACCCCAAAGGTCAGAAGTGGCAGCCAAAACTCTGGTACTTGCCAACTCGGCAACTCTCAGTACTTTCCTGTGCTGAAGTTGTACAGTGTGGAAGGTCAAGAGATGGGAGAGGACTGTGTATCAACCTGTTGTAAAAATTCCATGTAGAAACTGAGAGATAATCACAAGGGGCAAGAGAACTCAAATATGCAAGATATGTGTAGCAAGATAACTATGCTTTCTTTATAAGCATGCTTTTTGCGTTGTTGTTACATTCTAGAACATTTTAAAGTATTGTCCCAAGCCAGGAGTATTCCACTAGTCTTGAGATGATACGCATATAAATTGCAGTCGTGTTATCAGTGCAGAAAGGTGTAGTTACCTTGCTGTACCTAATGTACCCAGAAGGAAATCACAATGAGTACCAGGAGAAAGCAAGGGAACTCAAGGGCTTGAATGTAAGTAGTGATATGGGTGGGAATCTCTTCTCTCCTTGATATTTGCCATGTAGTTTCTGCCAGCTGCTCTTTTTCAGCCCTTAAACACACATCAGACAGTTGCTTTTATTTCCTTTGTATATTGGAAGTGCAAGCACAGAATATGCTTGACTGGGTAATATAGGAAATAGTGCTTCAAGGAAACTAACTTAATATTACTAGACATTTCTGCTGTTAGGAAACTGAGTGGCAACTGCTTTGTACTTAGGCAACCTTTACAGCATACTAACATTTTGTTTGTGTGCAGTATCTGGAATTGTGATTTGCTACTCTATTTTTAGCACAGTTCTTTAAAGGAGAAACTTCCATTATGGTCCATGCAAGGCATTTGTTTAACTCTACCATGTCTTCAAACCTGACCATTGCTTTGACACTCTCATAAATATTGGGCTTGTATAGGCAGCCGCGTGCTTTGGTTGCTCTGTGTGTGTGTGTGAGAACACTTACTAGATGGATGTTTCCAGGAGCAGGCACAGTATTGGGCAATGTGAGAGCATGCCTTGTGATAACTGATTCGCCTTCTCTGGTGCTGATTCGGGTGAACTGTCACTTTTCTAATAGTTTTAAACTGCAGTTCGGGCTGTCTGTTGAGGTGCAGTCTTGCTCTTCCTGGAAGAGGTGCATTTTGTGATCCTTTTGTCTGGGCATGGTGGGATTTTGCCTGGAAAAATGCTTTGCCTGGAAATGGAATAATTTACAAGAAGTTGTGGTCATACAAAATTACACTGAGCCTCAAGTTTCCTTATAGATGTAAAATAAATTTGTTAGCTGTGGAGTGCATGAACTCATCAAAATAGTTCAAATCAGAGGGTCGCTCTTAAAGTCTGCTTTTGCAGCAGCACTTTGTGAAATCTGAGTATCTTAAATATACACACGATCCTCCTACACACACAGAGCTTTCAGCTTTTGACTTGCTTCTGCTGTAGCAGTCTTCATCACTAACATAGAAACAGAACACTGCTTGACTATGCTCTTCACTGTAAAAGTTAAGGAGGCACATATAGATTGTAAACCCCCAAATGGCAAACAGCCTATATATAATGAAACTTCAAACTTTCAAGAAAATGTTTTTCCTTGAATGAAACTAAGATTTCTTTTATTGGGAAGAGTTGAACATGAAGAATCTCAGCCATATCTTTGGTACTTTGACCAAAAGAATAGGGGAGGCATGATGATAAAGCTTGAAAAATGCTCTTCATCCCTTGTTTGAAGAGATGGCAAGGTCAAAGACAACCTAATTTGTCTGTGTTAAATTAAATTTTGCTAAAGCAAGAGGTTGCACATTGCAGAATTTACTATAATATAAGATAATTAAAAAAATTCATTGCCCCAACAAGTCAGCATTGATGCATTGTGGCAGAAACTGCCTTCTACCCCCCACCAATATATCTTGACCCCTTTACTTCAAGTTGGCTTGATATAAAGTTGTTTTGAAATAAATGCTGCCGTCTCATGCTCTCAAAACAATGAGTTCACTACACCTCTGAAAAATCAGGCTGCTTATGTAAGTACCTAAATGAGGCTGTATCGTGCCAGTTTGAAAATTATTTAGTAACTTTTGCATGCCTCTTCTCCCCATGAAGCAGATACAGCAGCATATAAGATGGTAGGGCACTGTGCTTAAAAGCTTTTTTTAATTTGAAACATCCAAGTCTTGGAGAAGGCAGTTTGATCTGGTAAGACAGGCCTGATGTCCTTGAATCTGGGGGTTTGTTCTTGGCTGGGTTATTGTAGCCATGGCTGAGCTGTGTTGTGGTAGCCCTGCTGCAGGTAGGAGGGAGGTTAAACCTGCTAACTTCCAGAGGTCCTTTGCAGCCAATATGCCTGTGATTCTGTGATCAGCCTACTATACAGAACAGAAAATGCACGTGGCTTGCCTGAACTTCATCTTTTTATTGAGATCAAAAAAGAAGGGATTCTCTGTGTACACTTGTACTGTCTGCTGTGTTGAGCCCCAATCGTGGTGGGAGGCTGCAGGTGTCTCGAAGGCAAATAATATCTGAGTAGAAGTGAACTGAGGGTCAGGGCCATCTAGGAGCTATTAGCAGCATAATGTGTGTATGTTGTGGTGCTTCAGCAGCAGGATGGAAGAGAGTGGCTTAACTTGCCAGGCAATACTGAGAAACGCATGGGGAGAGGAGTCACATATGATACTGATAATCCATGTAGAAACTAGGAAAATATGAAATATGTATGGGAAGAAGTTGTGTTAAATCTACACAATCAAGCATTCCGAAGTCAGAAAACTACATAGAAAGGTAAAAGCAAAATCCTAAACTATGTTAGTGTACTCTGGGAGTCATGTAACAGCAAAACAATTTTATCCTCCAAGTCTGATTTATCCTTAATGCGCTTCCCATTGTTTAAATTTGTGATATTTTGGGACACTGTTACCTCAGATGCTTGTTTTGGCTATTACTCTAGGGTTTCTTGCAGGGGAAACTGACTGATGTTTTATTTACATTGCTTAATATGCTGTGTTAATGAAAAGCAGATTCCTCTGTAGGAACACTGGTCATATTTTGCTTTTGTTTAAAGAATCACTTGTGTCTCTCAGACTTTTGGAAATGAGCAGGGTCAGCAGTGGACCAGGACAAGTACCCAGCTATGCTGAATTGGAGGTGTTTTGGTATTTTTCTGAAATTCTGTTCAGGTTTGAAACTTTTGCCTTTTCTTCTTTATATCTTCAACGAAATCTGTGATCATATAACAACTACTAGGGCTAGTAACCATACTACTGCAGTCACCCTACAGCTTCCCATGCTGGGGAATCAGTCATTGTAAGGCTGATCACAGGTAGGTCAGGAATAACCAATGCTTGAGCTTCCCGTACAAGTCTAATTCAGCTTCTTTACTAGTATGGACTTGGCTGCAATTTTTGCCTTACTTGCTATTTTGCTTTCTTTTAAAGAACAAAGTTTACAACCTAAATAATGTTCTTCTAATAAAGCTTTTATGCATATACCATGTGATCAGGCAGAAGTACAGGAAGGTAAAACAGGCTCCTGTCTGTTCCCATTTGCTGCTTCTGCTGTTGGAGAAGGGCTGAAGCCCAGGGTATGAGCTTTTCCTACACCAGGCTGAAGGGCTTATCTCTCTTCTCTGTAATGACCTCATCTTGAGAAGTTCTGGGACTGAGCTGTTCCCTTTTGATTGGCTGTGTGCTACCTGGCCACCTCTTTCTTCCTTTCAGTGTCTGTTTGCAGAGCCTGGGACTTTGCACCCGGTGTAACTGATATTACTTTTTAACAAAATAGTTTCTGTTAATGACATTCCACCACCATCCCCCCGTCCCCCCCCAAGTTCATATGAAATTTAAAATTTCACTTTGTTCTGTGTTGCAGGCTGAATGCGCTTAATTACTTCTGGCACAAAGTTAGAGACTCTTGTTTCAGAAGTGGCTCTACCCCAGAAAAGTGCTTCGGCAGTGGGCAGCTATCGCAGTGCGACCCCTGGCTGTCGGCCTGGCTCTGTAGGAAGATGACACTGCGCCGGATTGTGGGAAAAAATGTCTTTCAGTAGAGCATGTAGCAAGAGGGGGGACTTTTAAAAACGGTCACCAGATCTGAATTTATATGCCAACTACCAGGAACTTCATGCAGGAGGAAAGCAGAGCAGTGGGAGGAGATGCTCTTTGTGGAAGGAGGGGGATCAGGGCGGAGGGTATACAGTTCCTGTGAAGCTCTATAAGTTGTTTACGACGGTGACATGTACGCAGTTAGAGAATGTAGCGTATCTTGCTACCTTGAACTTGAAAGGATCAAACTAAAGGACCGGGATGGTCACAACTAGGTGGGGCTCTGAGGGAGCAGCTACAAACCATCCCTTGGTGGACTCAAGGTACCTGGTATTGCTGTGCTTTGTTTCTCTAATGACTTGTCTCAAGGGTTTGCAAGGAATCCTGATCTTGTGGGCTGTGCCAGACCCAGAAACAGTGACTGGACTCAAACCATACCTGAGCTGGGCAACACCTGGGGAGGGTCAGCTTCAGTCTGATAAATGCTATAGTAACCATGAAGAAACACTTCTTTGCTGCAAAGAATCTTTCACGGTTTTGCCCTTTAGGCTTTTATTTAAATTTTGTGGTGTTTGTTTGCTGGGCAATTCCTGCAGTAGGTTACTGAGAGTACTGTGTGAGTGGAGTTTTTGTTGGAATAATTTATTTGCTTCTTCTAGGGCAGTAATTATTTACTAAGTATCAGCAGTTGTCTGGAATGTCTAGTTAATTATCAGCTTGCCTCTGTGAAAGTGTATGTAGTGAAAATACTTAAATAAAAATTTGAAAGTTCTTTTTCCTCTCATTTCAGGTACTGGGTCCATGTGTCACATCTGAATTCTATTGTATTAATTCTCTAAGTACCAACTCAGACCGTCTCCTTGATGCACACTCACGGCATCATGGCCAGTACTCAGGAGCGCCTGAGCTTGTCTTCCTCTCCAAACTCGATCAGCAAAGCTTTCTGTGAAGATAAAGACTTTAGTAGGTTACATGATGAACATGCACCTGCTGGAAACCACCCGTCCCCTGAGCTCATAGAGGATGTGCGTGAGAAGGGCTTGCTGCAGGCAGACCTCATCGAAAACATGAGCAGCCCGGTCACTGCAGCAGTGCTGACCAGCATCAGCGAGGACTCTAGGGACCAATTTGAGAACAGCGTGCTGCAGCTGCGAGAGCAGGATGAGTCTGAAACAGCTATTCCTCAGGGCAACAGGAACACTATGGATGGAGAGACCAACAGTGGAGCGGATGATGTTAAAGTCCAGTTCAACAGATCAGGCAGTGGGAGCGGTGGGTTTCTTGAGGGACTTTTCGGTTGTCTGAGGCCTGTGTGGAATATCATAGGCAAGGCATACTCCACAGACTACAAACTGCAACAGCAAGGTAAGCAGGGAAGCAAACCTTCATTGCTTCTGGGGAAATGTGTGAAGATGAGGAAAGCAACCCAGGGCTTTTTCCTAGCTTTCCATGTGACTGTTTTTGTCTCATGCAGCCCTATTATGGGTTTGCAAAGAGAAATCCTGCACTGTACAGCCAACAGCTATCGTTTGTAGCAAAGGCAGCTCGTGATGGAGTCAAAAACAATTGTCTGTTCTGACCCATGCCTTGGACCGTTGTGACAAGGTCTGAATCTGAACCGAGTATTTGTGTAAGTGAGGATCAGAAAGAGTTGTGTTCAAGACAGGGATTGTACCAACTACTTAATTTCTGCAGTTTTTTTCATGCCAGATGAAAAACAGGGATAGGTATTTTCATCAGGCCAGATGAAAGACATTGACATAGGCATTTCTACTCCTGTATGTGTATGTGAAGGCTGTCTTCAGTTGACCACCCACTAGCAGAAGTATTGCTTCTCTATGGGTGTATTACATGAACTTTTATGTCTTTTTTTGTTCAGGAGTAATTTTACTCTTTAAAATATCATTCAGTACTTATCTTTCCACAAATATGTCCTTTAATGTTTATACTTTTTTCATTTAGATGTATAAATATATAAGTGTGTGTGTGAGTATAAATACATATATATATATATATAAAATATGTAGTTTGGGAATAAGTAATGCCTCAGTCAGTCATGTACATCTATCTTTAGGGGTTACTGAAAGGTGAAGAGCAGAGTATGCTCTGCCTTTGGTGTCTAATTTCTCCCCTAGCACAGGGGAAGGGAAGTGGCAGATGGGAAAAGAACAATCTGTCATTAGAATTAAGGAGCTGAAATGGTTGAGGCTTATCAAAAATGGGAACAGCCTGGCCATGTACTATACCGTGGGGTAGAAGTCTCCTGTATTGCTGTGGTCATGACTCAGTATTAATCAAATGGTTTTCTGGCATAAACAAATTATAAGATATGTGGTCAGAAAACCCACCTGAGTGGTTCATATCTAAACCCCAGGGTTGGATTGGGGAAAAGTTCCTAATATGAGGGAACAGAGCTGTTAATAACATGTTGGGTGAATCTGCCTTGAAATAAACTTACACCTTCTTCCTAGAGTCGATCATTTCCAGTTCATAACTCTGAGCAGGAAAATCCACCTCTGCATTGCAGAATGGCAGGTGCCTCCTAAGTAGCAGCCTCTTGTCTATCAGACCTGTGTGCTCAGCAAGAGTTTACTTGTTTTTGAAATCCTTTGGCAAAGTTGGTTCTAAGTTTTGTCTGCATGTTTGTCGTGGTTTAACCCCAGCCAGCAACTAAGCACCACGCAGCTGCTCACTCGCTCCCCCCCCCCCCCCCGGGGGGAGGGGGAAGAAGCGCGGAAAAAA